CCTATTTTCAGTTCTTTTAAAGCACACTACTTGTACCTAAGTATGTTACACTGCCTTACATTTAGTTATTTATTGTTCTTCTCAAGGACAACTGCAATGTATCTTCATGATTCAATAAGTTACCCCATTTGTTTTTTCCAAAACAAAGGAAATGGTATTATAGTCTTTTTGAATTATCTTGTTAAATATATCATCCTACTGTTATAGTGTTGTAGGGGCAAAATAACATAATTCCTGAATATGAAGAATTTTTTTTTTCTTTTATCCTCATGCCTTCTTACTTCCAGTAGTAGCTTCTGCATCAGATACAACCATATCGCTTTAGCTATTCCAATCATGAATCATTCTGCAATGTTTTGACAATGCTAACTAAATTCCACTTATGCTTAAATGACCATTTTGATTCTTTTTATTTATTACTGGATCTCACAGCACTTGCCTATTGACAACCATCTTGTGTCTCGTTTATTTTTCCCTCACTAACCACCCTTTTCTTTCTTCAGTACTGGTTTTGCATATTTTTACAAGATGCTAAAATGCCAGTATCAGATAGTATGCAATGCAACTATATCAAGTGCTCAATTAAGTATCAAAGATCTCCAACTAACGTTTTCTGTTCTGTCATGATTTTTATTTTAGCCAGCCAACACTGTACAGCATTAATAGTTTTGAATACACTATGCATTAGCAGTTAGATCAGTAGTCTTTTGTAGCAAAGGCATAAAGCAAGAAAAAAAACACCCTACTATGCAAATTCTGAGCATTTACTGTCAGTATTCAAACCTCTTTGTTATAGGAAAGTAACAATTTTAATCTACAAAAGTGATGATTTTCAAAAAAAAAAAAATAATAATAATGTTGAGCGAAATATATATAAAAATAAAATGTAGTTATTCCTGTTCCTCTGGGGTTATGTTATACAGTGAAGCAAGCACCACTTCTAAACTGTGTATGTAAATCTTGCTGCATATGTATAATCACAAAGGATATAACACTCCTATACTAGTACAGACACTGTCTACCCTGTAACAGCTTATGCACTGCTGGAGTTTCCTACAAAAAATAAAAAATATTAAAAAAAAAATCCTTTGATTAATTTTACCTACTTAGTAACAAGCTGTCTACTGGCACTGTTCACATATTTTATTTACTAAGTGACAGCACTGTTTTCCACTGTTTTAATTTCCTGGCAACAGCAGCTGGAATGATGAACAAAAAAACGATTTCATCCAACAGCTCAAGGCGAAAGAGAAGGTAATCCAAAAAGAAAACTGCAGACAAAGGGACCACATTGCTTGTAAGTGCTGATAAAAGGGTGTAAAGTAATGCTTCAAAGAATGATACAGGACTCCAAAATAACCAGAGACAGTTCAGGAACCATAATTTAAGGTAAGCTGATGTATAAAGGTGGGACTCAAGGACAACTTAATCAGAGTCAATTATAATAAAACAATGGGGAAGTTAAAGTCACAGAAGATTTGACTCAGCAACGCTAGGCCTAGCTTTAGCTACATAAAGCATATAGATGCACGTTCTACAGTAGAACACAGATCGTTTCCAAAGTCAAATCAAGACAAGTGAGAGCTTTAGACTTCATTTAACAGTCACAGTTATGCAAATTGTAAATACTTTGCAAACCTTCCTATGTTATACTTCAATCAGAAGCTATAGAAAGCAAGAAATTAGATCACTTCAATGTTCAATTTGTCATTGTACATAGATCAATTAATATTTGTTTTATAGAATCAGAGAAATTTAGATGAAAACTTCCATAAGAAGACATATATTTTCCCATGTGCAAATATATGCAATATTTAAAGCTTCAGATTCTGAGAAGAGTAGCCCATTATGAAGGCACTTGAAAAAGTTACAAAAAAAGTTTTAGACATCCGTTACCGAAAACATAGTTTATTTCAAAGTAATTCATGCAGATGTCAATAGCCTGGGGGGTCTCTCCTGCAGACTTTCAAAACCCACCCAGACAAGTTCCGGTGTGACTTGATCTAGGTGTTCCTGCTCAGGCAAGGGAATTGGACTAGGTGAACTTTTGAGGTCCCTTCCAATCCTCAACATTCTGTGATTCTGTGGCTTCCAGAAATACGTAATTTCCTGTGACATCTTCAATATTTACTATTTAACACATAAAAAAAGTAGGAAAATTAAGAATTGGTATTTTATTTCTCACATACTTTACATCAGTACGTTCACTTGTTTCATTAAGAACATTCACAGTAGATAGGGTAGGCGGAAAATATCTAAAAAGAAAATATCACGTGTATCCCTTATTTCATTCCCCCAAATTACTCAAAATTTATTAAAGCATAAAGAATGTTATAGGATCATAGAATCACAGCATAGCTCAGGTTAGAAAAGACCTTAAAGATCATCAAGTTCAACTGCAACCGCAACCTAACCATAACAACCAACCTAACTCTAACAACCCTCTGCTAAATCACGTCCCTGAGCAAGACAACCAAACGGTTTTTAAACACATCCAGGGATGGTGACTCAACCACCTCCCTGGGGAGCCTATTCTAGTGTTTAATAACCATTTCTGTAAAGAAGTTTTTCCTGATATCCAATCTAAACCTCCCCTGGCGCAACTTGAGGCCATTTCCTCTTGTCCTGTTATCTGTCATCAGTGAGAAAAGACCAACCCCACTCTCAGTGCAATCATCTTTCAGGTATTTGAAGAGAGCCATAAGGTCTCCCCTCAGCCTCCTCTTGGGGGAAGTCAGTAAGACCTCCCCATGTTGGGGAACTCAAAGCCCTCTGCTGACTGCCTTCTGCCTTGTATGGATCATTAGAAAACAAACATATTCACTGAAAATTATCTTAAAGTTGTGATAGAACCTAGTCACACACAACTCTAAACATGGTAAAAAGTATTTAGAGGCTGAAATGTACAAGTTTTCCAAAAGGAGGTTAATGTTGTGAAAATCATCAGGGTGGCATTCCTTTTATGTCTCTGTACTGGAAGACACTGAACAGTATTTTCAGTTTGACTTTACACACAATTATGGCTGTCATCATCCTGAAAGATTACCAGAATAAAACACATTCTTTCTATGTAACTTTGTAAATGAAAGAAATTACATTCACAATGGAGTGTAAGAGTAACTAGGGGAGCAAAAACATGAAACAATAAATACTTCAGCAGTGCATGATGTCCCATTTTTACGGATAAAAATAAATTTTATCAGCATGCATAAACTCTTCCATCCAGAAAATGACTAAGTATTTATCTGGTGCTGTACTTTAAACAGGCAGATTTAATAACAGCAAGGAGTGGGTTTAAACCTTGAGCGCCTCAATCTTGGCAAACTTAGGTTGAGAACTATGAATTCTTTGTAATTTACTTTCCCAGCTTGAGGCATAGTTCACAATTTAGAACATTTTTAATGCTTCTTAAATGTATAAACCCCAGGACTCTGGAGCACTCAACATGATTCAGAATCTTCCTCCCCTCCCTGTTTGATATGTGCCAGAAATGTAATATCTAAATACAGACAGGATAGTATTTGTGAAAAGAAATGTCTTTAGATCCCAGAATATCATCCAATGCTAACCTGTCTGTCCTTTAAATACCTGTACACAATAAGTTCACTTAAAACTGATCTACAATTCTTACACATTCATAACACCAAAGCCTAAATATTCACATTGCTTATGTAGACAATCCTGCTCTGTTGAGTACTGCACAAAATTACACTAATAAATAAATAAATAAATAAGTTTTCTGAAGCTTCTAGGTAAGAATTAAATTAAAATAATTGCTTCTAGATAAAATAACACACCCTCAGGCTATCTGAGATTCCAGAAGTTACCCAGAAAATGAAACTGAAACATTCATCTTAATCAGTGTTTTGCACACTGCATTGAGACTGCAAATGGTGCAAACTGAAATAAACCAAAGATTGCTTCTAACTACTCCTGGTAATAGGAACATTGTTTTAAACAATGATATATTAATGACATTGACCATATTATAGTAAGGTGAAGGATGGATAAAGTATAGCTTATTGGAAACGAGGTAATTCTGTTAGTCCTTTGCACATGAGAAGGAAAAAAAACCAAAAAAAACAGACATTTCTTGGAAACAGAAGAACTCACTGGACTTTGCAGCAGTCCTTCTAGAAACTGCAACAATCTGAGTTGTAATTTACTTTCCCAGTACATACTTGAAGCATATGCATCAACGTAACACTTTTTAAGAATTAACCCACATTCAAAGGTGCTTCTTCTACTGTAATACATAGCAACTACCTCCAAACCATTCCATGATTCTACAGGAAGCATGCAGTATAGGCCCCCATTCAGCAAGACGCTAAAGTAAACACAAAGGCTGACTACCCAAACCCCCCAAGACCCAATCCAGATGCAGCACGGAGCTGACATTTCAGGCTCCTTCAGGATCCCTCAGATCCTGATAAAGTCCTTCTAATAGGAAATTTGGGAGGGGTTTCCAGACTTTCGCAGGAAACAGCAACTACTTTAAATAACTAGGGCCCAAAGGATGCTCTCATGGACCTTGTAGCACTCCCCAAATAGGGAAGTCTCACAGCCCGTGGCTTCCTCCAATAGCTGTAAACCTGCTCTCTGCACTCAACGCAGAACCTTATCCTCAGGCTACTCTCTCAGCCACTCTCCCAAACAGCCACGCTGAATTTAAGGGCAAGCACCCCTTGCTCTCTAAAGCTTTAAAATCAAGCAGAATGTAGGCACAAAAAGCAGAGGATGGTGGGAAGGAGGAAGAAAACACCGTTTCCTGTTGCTTTAATCCCTTCAATCAGGCTGCCGCCGAGGAGGAAGCCGGCAATGAGCGACCGCCAAGGACAACCCGGCCGCTCGGCCCTGCTTCCCCCAGCCCGGGAGGCGCCTGGGCTGAGGGGCGGCGCGTTCGGGGCTGCCCACCGCCGCTTTCAGCCCTTCGCAGAGCCGTGTAGCGCGGCTCCGGGAAGCTGCAGGGGAGGGGGAGGGGGGGGACGAAGGCTACACACCCAGCAGCAGGCCGTCCATGTCAAAGATAAGGTGAGTGACCGGCCGCACCGCGGCCGTGGAGGAGCAGGAGGAAGCCGACATGGCGAGCTGAGCCCCGTGTGGCGGCGGCGCAAGCGCGGCAGCCGGAGCTGATGGGGAGCAGGGACCGGTACTGCCGCGGGGGCAGGCGGGCGGAGCGGGGCAGGGCGGGGTGCCGGGCCGTTGCGTGCGGTGCTGTCCTGCCCAGCTCTAACAGCCGCTGGGTGGATGCGCGGTGAGCTGGAGGCGCAGGGCAGGAGCCGCGGGGCGGCCCGTGGGCAGCGGCACCGAGGGACCGCTTAAAGAAACTTCTCTCTCTCTTTTTTTTTTTTTTTTTTTTTTTTTTTAAGCAAGGAAAGTTCTATTTTCTGCTTGTCTTTTTCTTGTTTGGAAGTTTTGTTTGTTTGTTAATCCTGTTGGATGCTGCTCACTGGAAGGACTGGGGAGTTGTTCCTGTTTTGATATTGCAGACAGCGTTTTCTCACTGTGCCCATGTAGAGATTCACAGGGGTACAACTACTGCTGGATTGTAACTAGAGCTGTAAATCGAGAGTCTCAAAGCTACATAAAACTGTGGTTTAGAGAGGAAGAAAGCAGCAGTGTATAAACATCTGTTACGTTCTTCTTAAGGGCTGTTGAGTGTGACTCTAGTTCCTTTTTATTTTTTTTCTTTTCATTCTGAAGTTCAAGAAACAAGCCGGTGTGCCTGAGAATAAGGAAATCCTTCCAACATACACCACCAACTGGTTGTCTCTGAGTAGTTGTGAGCAGAAGTTGCAACCTTCCTTCACCACTATTTCCACCTTCATTTTTTCTACACAGATAACTTGGTTCCCTCATCAGGGTCACTGGTTACAGGTCAAAACCCCATCGGCAGAAGCAGACACAGTGGTGGCAATCTCATGCTCCCAAGGTGCCACGTATGCGTGAAGATTAATGCTGCTTTTTAGTTCTCTGCTAAAGCGATGTTGGGGGGAAGTGTTCTCTCATCCTCTAGGTAGGCCTCCCAGCACTTTGATTGTCCCTGACAGTTCTTTCATTTGAATAGGCAGTATTTCAGCATTTTACTAAGATGGTGTTGTTTTTTAAGCTGTAACTGTAGATATCATGTGATTGTATTTGAATTTTAGTTTAGAATTCTTCTGTGTCTTACCTACTTACTTAGGTTGTGGATGCCCCATCCCTGGATGGGTTCAGAGCCAGGCTGGATGTGGCTCTGGGCAGCCTGGTCTAGTGGTTGGCAAACCTGCACGTAGCAGGAGGGGTGAAACTAGATGAACTTCGAGGTCCTTTTCAACCCAGGCCATTCTGTGATTCTATGATACCTACCCCAACATCTCTTCCCTTAAACAAATCCTTACCCAGTGTTTGTGAGAAACATCTTAGACACAGACTCATACCACATTTCTTGGAAGTGAGAGAAGAGATAAAATATCTATGGCCTTTTATTATTAAAAAGATAAAAATAAATTTATCTTTCACACAAAGTTGTTTTTTTGTCATTTTTATTTTGTTGTTGTTTGTTTTTAATATCTCATTTTCTAATATTTATATTACTGCTTATCTTGCTTATGTAATCTCAGAAAAAGGCTATGCCCGAAGCTATTTTAAAAAATTCCTTGTATAGTCATGATGTACATCTATTAGTTCTTGTGTTGTGGTAAGAAAATTTATCCTGTATTTTCAGGTAGAATTTTCATTTGTAGCCCTACAATGTGGTTAAGAACAACGCCTGCAACTATTCCGCTTCTCCAATAAATAATGCGCAACTACTCAGTGTTCAAATATTTTTTCAGGTTGCAGTTGTCTTTGCTCACAGTTAAATGAACTTCTGAATAAACTAACACAACTGCTCTTTTTATGTTCAAAAAAAGGTAATCTGTTAGAAAATCTGTAAGAAAAGTCATAGTCATCTCAATACTCGTAATCCTAGTATTCTCTTAGAAAGAGTGGGTTTCTGCTGTAGGAGTGTAAGCTATTGTGGCAAAAGTTTCTAGAGGGTGAGTAATGAGATTGTACAGCAGTTGTATCTGAGATGGATTCATTTGGTTTCTAACTGTAAAATGTAAAAAATGAAATGAGTTCTTCCTTATTTGTATTTGTTGGCATAGTAGCACCTGTAGTGTTTAACAAGAAAAAAGCCACATCAGTCATACATTTTCTAACTATTTTGGAGAGAAGCATAATTGTTTTGATCACAACTTCAACTCTCCCTCAAAAAAAGGGAAAATATTTACTATTTTTAGTATAATAAAACTCCAGTTCATGTCTTTTGACTGTTTAAAGTGCAAATGAATCTGAAAGACATTCTGTTTGAGAAAATGTATGCTACTCAAGAAGAGCCCTTATAGAATTAAGTGGTCTATGCTTAAAATGTCTATTGTTGACATTTTAAGACAGTCAAGTTTGCTGACATGCTGATGACCTCAATTTGCTTTGTTATTTTGGCTCATCAGTGGTAATCAACATAATGTTAACTTACTGTTTAGATTTATTCAGCATGACATAGTCTTTTCAGTAACAGAATGAAATGAGAAGAAAGTCCAAGCACAACTTCTAGTTCACAGTGGATCATAATTTTCCAGATAAACAGATAAATAAAGAAGTTTATCTAAGTTTTATTTCAGCTGTCTTAAATATTCTTCTCAAACACCTTAGTAGTAGTATTTTGTGATAGTAGCACAAATGCTACTTAGCACTAGTATTTTGTTGGTATTTGTTTTTGAAGGTGTGAAAAAATGAGAATTATGCAGTTGACTTTTATTTGCTACTTTTTTATTTTAGGCATTTTTCATGTGAAAGGAAAAATAAAAGTAGCTTTTGAGCTGTGGAAAGCATAGTGTGGTAGAAGCATAATAGCAATGAAAACTAATAATTATATGCATGTTAACCTTATTATTAAGTGTGAACTTGTGTTATTGAGAAATAATCACGCGAGTAGACTTGAATCCTGCAGTCTGAAGAACATAATTTTTTGTGTGTTTTTAATGCATTTAACTTTCTGTTTAGGCACATACAACACATGCCAAAGAAGATGACTGAGCTTTTGCCAAGGTTTACATTTTATGGCATTATAGGGTACAAATACATGTCCAGTTTTTTAAAAGACTATAATTAGATATACAATATCTATATCTTATAGATATTATATATCTTATATCTATATAAGATATAGATAAAAAAGACTATAATTAGATGCCCTTTGGTAATCTTTCTTACCCCAAACATATCTGTTTTCTCTGAATTTGTTCTTATGATAAAATTACTTTGGTTTTATTGTTCTTTATGTGAGATAAGGTGAAAATATCCAGTTGCCTATCCATGCAGTTTTGAAGTATACAGTACATTCTTATACACAGTTCATATATGTCCAGCTCACTGATTTTGTTTTTGTTGTCCTCTTTTTTTGTGTGTGTGTTTAAAAAGAAGTTTTGTTACTTATAAACTTTGACTATATAATGTATTTTATGTGTGGCCCAAGACAATTCTTCACTCAGTGTGGACCAGGCAAGCCAAACGATTGGACACATGTACATTGTATACAGGCCACAGAATGTTTCTTGGTCTTCTTGTGTTTGGTTTTGAAGCTAAAAAGTTTTCCCAATCATGGAAACTCATTTATGAAGTTGTTTTCCTGGAGAATAAAAGTTTCAGAATATGCTTAAGTGTTTTCTTGGGTAATAGACTTGAATTAAAATTGCACTTTCCTATTTCATTACTTTATACTCTTCTTAAAACATGGATTCACTTACAGTAAATGTATAACATTGATAGGAGCATCATACACTATGTGTTTTATGTTGAAAAGGCTGACTTATTTTTCTTGTTCTGCAGGTGCAATTGCAAAGAGGATAAACAGATTATATTCCATTTTGGTTTGAATATTAAAAAAAAAAAAAAGATTCCAAAGACTTGAATAAATCCCTTGAATAAAATAAATGAATTACTTGAGTAATTTAAAAGCTTTCATGATGATTTATGTGAACAGCTTTTAAACCCCCTATTAGTAAGAAATTACTTGGAATGACACACTTAAATGTAATTTAACTCAGGTGTCAACTGAGATTCACAACAATTGCTATAGTTGAGCCTATAAGCCTTCAAAAAACATAACTCCTCCCCGTGTTGAATGTCATCAAAGAAAAAAAAAACTGCCTTAAGAATGTGAATTAAATTATATGGTTTCTGCCCATGTTTTTATGGTTGAAAAAAGGAAATCAAGCATATAGCTTAAGACAATGAAACAGCGCTGTATTTCTGCTGTTCTACAATATTTTTTATTGATTATAAATATATGTATATAAATATAAAAAGTCAAATGGAAGTATATCCTCCTTAACTATTAGTATGGGTATTCTTATTTCTTATGCAAAACATATAGAGGCGTAAGAGCCCTCTGTTTTCTGGATTTTAATATCTTTCACCAATTACAAGTGAGTTAGTTACAAAGGCAAGAAAAATGATGTATCATGCTTAAAGGAGAAAAAAAAAGTGAAAATATGCATTGGAAATCTATAAATTTAGATGAGGTACTATAGTAAGGTTCTTAAGCAGCAATGAGGAGTGAAACTCCAGAAGAACCTACCAAGCACAAGGCGGGACAAGGGATCTAACGCTTTTAGATGACAATTTTTATATTTGTTGATGAGAATTGGCAATGGAATGAACAGATTCAGAAGCTGGGAAATTAGAGTTTAATGTTATGCTTCAGGGTCATTTGTTGTTTCCATTAAAGCCAGAGAGAATAATTCTCACTCCTCTACATTACATGGCTCATGAATTAGCCTTTTAACGTAATTTTTGGTCTTCCAGTAAAATATTGGCTGCACACAGCCAAAATGTGCAAATGATTAACAGCGTCATTGTCACTGAAATCTTAAATGCTTAATGGATGGGTCCTACTTATCCTTAAACTATCAGAAGGATTTAGGCAGAAGGAAATGCATACCAAGATAAAATTTGAAGTTTTTTATATTGTTTTGCTTTTCCTATGACTTCGTCTTTTGGATCTCTGGTAAATCTTATTTATCTAATTTATATTATTAAAAGATCCAAAAATACTGGTTATACTTATTGGTTTCTTGGCATGTGAGTTTTATGGCTATATTTTTTTTCATTTTACTACAGTTTGTAGTAGGGGGGGTGGGGGGGGAAGGTAGTGCCACATGGAACATGTATTTCATTAACTCTTCTTAGCAAGACATTCTTCACTTAGTTGCCTACAATAAGGGTAGAACTAAATGCAGACATCCTTCCAGTGGCCCTGTTTAAGTCCTGTGTTCTTCAGCTGAACATTGTCCAAGAATGCAATAATTAC